GATTTAGGGCTTCCTGGCAGATAATCAGGTGAACATAAGATGCTCCCAGAACGACACTGTGCCTTCAAGAACTAATTCTATTCTTGGATACACAAGCAAAGGAATATTAAATAGGTGTAACACGGTAATATTGTTTTTGGATACAACAATAATAAGAGCATTTGGGGAATAGTGTGTTCCCTTTTACAAATAATTTTTGACTAATTAGAGAGTTCTGATGAAAGTTTTCTGATTGGTCAGTACTGTCAAACCTTTCTCACTGATCAGTCTATTAAGCCTGTTCAAGAGGAGATTAAGAGGTGAATTGATCTTTATGGCGAGGGTTGCCAAAATATGGATTGGGCTTCCAAGGGAGGTTGTGCTTTCCTCTACCTTGGAGGTGTTTAATAGGGGATTAGACAAGCACCTGACTGGGGTTACTTGACCCCAGTGCTCTTTCCTGCCCAGACTCGATGATCTAATAGGTCCCTTCCAATCCTAGAAATCCTTTAAATCTATCACATCTATTAAATAAGTTCCTCCACAGAGAGATTTTTTATTGTAGTGTGCTCTGGATCTAGTGTTATTAAGATGAAGCTGGCTTCCTAGAAAAACTAAGGAAGTATAGTTTAGGATTAACATTAGAGTTAACCAGGACCAAACAGATGCAAAAGTAGGTGAATAATTACACTCAAAGAGCAGAATTCAATGCTCCGTTGTCTATGTAAGCGGGCATATCAAGCTGGTTCCTGGGCTGGGTCCAGGTCAGTATTTGAATTGTCATTTGGATGATGGTGTAGCAAATATGTTTATAACATTTGCAGATGACAGCAAGCTATTAGGAATTGCAAGCACTTTGGAGGACAAGGTCTAAATTCAAAATAACTTTGACAAATCAGCGTGAAGATCTATAACAGGTTTGCAAGTACAGCCCATGGGCTAGATCCTGCCAGTTAAGAAACTGGATTCAGCAGATGTCTCCAATTTGTGTGGGGATTTAATACAGATGACATTTCAAAGCAAGCTGGGAGTTGCAGGGTGGAACTGGTGGGGGCTCTTCCCAATATCAGGAGCTTACGGAGGGTGAAGTAGATGGATGTTGGCCTCCTTCCATCTATTTCCCAGGGAGTGGTAGTATCTGGTCTTTTGGTAGACTCCTTTACTACTAGGGATAAGAAGATAATTCAGAGAGCTCTGAGTTAGCACATGAGCTTTTATGTAACAGCACTACAGGCAGAAGAAATGTAGATTCCTAGCAGAGGTAGAAGATAAATACTAGGACTGCTGGACTTTGTCAAGATGCGGGCAAATGTTGGCAATATCTTCTCTAAGTGCTTAGCACCCAAAAGTACAATGAATCGAAGAGCCATTTTGAGGAAAAAGGGGATGAAGCTTGTTTGTGCTGTACAATTCATTTACTGTGTGACTTGAGCAAAGCACCTTTCTGTGCCTCAATTTATCTATAGGTAAATAGGGAGGATATTTCCCAACCTTGCCTGATTGCTTTGAGGCTATATTATAAATGTTTAAAAGAAGCTTTGTGATTCTCCCAGGAAAGGAGCCTTATCTGGGAGTGTCAGGTATTATCATAAGACTGTACAAAACTTCATATACAGAGGCAGAGCCTTTGCTTACTGTGTTAATCGGAATTAAGCTCCTTTCCTTCAAGGTGTATTGAATCTCTTCTGTGATCCACGGAGTGGCCTCATTAAGAGCTCAGTAGAAGCTCCTTCTCTGTCCTGAGATATACTATAGCTCAACCTTTAAAGAAAGGGAAGATGGAGTATATAGTATATCTTCTAAGGAGTAGCAATAGGAAACTATTGAACATGTGCAGCAGAAACTCAGTCATCAGCAGGGATCCTAGTTTTCTTTAATAACAAAAAAATCTCCAATTGTAACACATTTTTCCGTGATATATATATATTAGTGGTGTTTCATATGAATCGCAGAAATATGTGTATTTTTGGGTTACTTTTTTAAACCAAAAATTTGGGACATTTATTTTTATTTTTTATCAGAGAAAACCAGGATCTCTGGTTATCAGCCTCCCTTGGGGCCCCAGAGAAAACTAGAGTAAAGCTGCACAAGAGGGGCAGGGCTGGGTTGTTCCAGGTGCTGCTGATGGACTCCAGCAGTGTCCTGCTGGTTAATCTCTTACCTTTCAAAGGCCTCCTACTGCATCTAGGGCCATGCTTTGGTGGTTTCTAAGGCAGCACTGACATGGTTCCCAACTAAATACACCTCTGTCCCCTCCCAACTCTGAGTGCACCTCAGGATTCAAACCTCCTGCCTTTACTTTTCTCGAGGTGGAAACCTGTGCTTCTCCCACCCTTAGACCCACCCAGGGCTAGAGCCACGTGTGGATCACCAGTTCTTCCCCGGGAGGCTTGACTGGATACAGCAGCTGTGACTCGGCCCTTTAGGAGCCTGTGGCCAGCGCTGAATAGTGACCAGCCAGGCTGCCAAACCACAGCAAGGTTTGACCTTAGCAACAGGAACAAAGCACGTCAGAGAAAAGGATTTTAAAACAACAATTCCTATGTGTCCTCCTTATCTAATTGCTTGTCATTCCCAGATGATCGCCTGGACAGCCAAAACATGCCTCCTGCTTGCATGCTCTGGGATGCTTTCCATAGGAAGCTGTCTGGGTGTGAAGCCTGTGTTATACAATGTCTCTTCACTGATTTTGTGTTTTTTGTTTGTTTTTTTGTCTTTTAGGGCAGAGAAAACAGAAGTTCTGAGCGAAGATCTTTTACAGGTAAAGTGACTCTTCCCAACACCTAGTGATGGCAGTCAATCTAACAAATGCATAAGGGGGGTCTCACTGTCAGAGGACTGAGAGAGGGAGGATGGTTCAGTGGTTTGCAATCTAGCTCAGAGCTCAGTCACGCAGTCCTGGGCTTGACCTTGGCAAGTCGCTTAACACTGTGCCTCAGCTTCCCATCTGCCCAGGGGGGGAAGTGCCCTGCTCTACAAGGGGGCTGTGAGGATAAACGAATTGAAGATTGTGAGGCACGTTAGATATTGATGTTTTGTTCATCAGATCAAAACCCACTTAAACGGTCATTTCTTAGGGGCCAGTAAAACCCCTTTGCCAGTCGCGGCATTTGCAGCTGTGTCTGTTGCCCTTTATGCAGGAACATGAGTGAAACCGTACCAGCTACCACTCTGTTGGGCGTTTCAGTCATTTGCTCAGATTGGTGATGTGGCATTTTTTTTCATGTCAGTGGGATTTCAGATCTGTTCATCATTGCTGTAATTGTGGTTCTGTTGATATCCGTGGTTCCACTGACTTCAGGGGGGTGCAAAGTGAATCCATGACCCACTCCTGAAAATCACCCTAGGATTTTGCTAGATGCACAATTAAGATGTATGTTGAGGACATAAAGCTTATAACTCTTCATGCATTCTGTAAGGTGGACACTGATCCCTTTCACCTGACAAAAAACATTCCCATGAGGAGGTGTAAATACCAGAAGTAGGAAACTTCTCAGAAGTAATGAGCACAAATGTCCCACTTATTCAAGGGAAAAGAGTGAGATCAGATGTTCAACATTTCAAATATGTTTCCAAGGTTTCCATGAGGATAATCATACAGTTCTCTCAGAGAACGTTTCTTCCTACAGCTTATGAATGAGGAGTATGAATGATGAAATTATATGCAAGTGGAAGTATGTCTCTTAGCAGATGGAAGCAATGCCTTGTGTTTTCATGCAGTTATGGAATTAGGGTTGGAAGGGATGTCACAGGTCTAGTCCAGTACTCCACATAGATTCCTAAAGCATCCCACAGAAATGCTTAGCCAGTCTCTTCTTGGTTTCTTCTATTAGAAGGAGTTTACACAACTTCTCTGGGCAGCTTGTTTCATTTTCCAGCTATTCTGATGGTTAGGAATTTTTTTTTTCCTGGGATTTACTCTAAGTCTGTTTTCCTGTAGCATAAATCCAGTGCTTCACATCCTGCCTTTTGTGACAAGGGAGAAGTGTTGCTCTACCTCTTCTTCATAGCAGCCTTTCAGATAATTGAAAACTGCTGTCATGTCTCCCCCATTAATCTCCTTTTCTCCAAACTAAACATACCTATTTTTCTCAGTCTTTCCTCATACTGATTGCATTGCAATCCCTTTATCGTCTTTGTTGCTCATTTCTGGATCTGCTGCAGTTCCTACACATCCTTCTGAAAATGAAGAGCCCAAAACTGCAAATGAGCAGCAGCAAGCAGAGAGGTGCTATCACCTCCTGTGCCTTGCATGCAGTGCTTCTGTTAATGTAGCCGAAAATTGCATTCGCTTTTTTTTATCCTGTAACCTCATTTTTCCTGGTGACTCACCTTGAGTCTGTGATCCTCAATACCCATAGCCTTCTCAGCAATGCTACTGCCTACACTATTTTTTACTAAACTATATCTGTACTTTTGTTTTTCCCTAGATGTGGTACCTTACATTTGTCCTTGCTGAATGTTGTCTTTATTTTCTGGGTCTGAATCTTGCTGGCAGTCTTGTTAGACCTTGTTACACTTGAGACACTGCTCAGAAAATGCCAGTTCTTAGTCTTTACTTGTTCTTTTGAGTGCAGAGGAATAACAGAGCAGTTCTTGTATTGCAAAGATTTCAGAAAGATCACAGCAGGTCAAAATGTTTTTAACACAGTGAATTCCTATTTGTAATCTCTGGGTTTATCTTGTGAATCATGCTTTCACACCTAACAGTGCTAATGTTGTGCAGCACCCTTGGAAGGTTCTCAGGTCACCCCAGGATGCTGCAGCACCCTGGTTGAGAATCAGTGGGCTAGAGAGTCCCATGTACAGCACTGCAGTGTTGCTTTCACTTTCCACAATAGAGGCAATAACTCCTGTTATTTTGTTTTATCATTTATCATGTGCACGCCAATTCCAACAGCTGAATTTAGGAAAAAAGGTTCATGTTGTATATGAGGAAAATAGAATAACTCCATTGACAGCTATAATACTAAGTGACTTTATGCTGGCATCAAAGAAAGGGGACTGTGGCCTTAACAGATTTGCAGCTTGGATTTTTTTTTTAACTTCAAAGGTTGCATATTGTTTTGCAGAGGAAAGAAAAATTAGGACCTGTTCCAATATGTCCAAAGTTTCAAAGGTCTTTGAGTGATTAGACCAAGAAAAAATAGGGAATATGTGGATCCTCCCAGGAGTAATACTACTTACGTCGCACTTTAACCCTACTGCACGCGCATGCACGCACGCACTCACCCTTCTGAATGTAACATACTACCTCTGAGTGTGTGTGTGTCCCTAGTACCACATATCCAAGAAATGCATGCTGTTCCAAAACAGGACCTGAACTGTATTCTAATCATAGAAACTTAGAAAATTAGGTTGGAAAGGATCTCAAGAGGTCATCTAATCCAACCCCCTGCTCAAAGCAGGACCATCCCCAGCTAGATCATCCCAGCCAAAACTTTGTCTAGCCAGGTCTTGAAAACCTCCAAGGATGGAGATTTCACTTCTCTGGGTAACCTGTTCCAATGTTTTACTACCCAGCTAGTGAGAAAATTCTTCCTAATATCTAACCTAAACTTCCCTTGAGCCCATTGCTCCTTGTTTTGTCATCTGCCACCACTAAGAACAGTCTAGTTCCAGCCTTTCTTGAACCCCCCTTCAGGTAGTTGAAGGCTGGTATTAAATCCCCTCTCAGTCTTCTCGTCTCCAAGCTAAGCCCAGTTCCCTCAGCCTTTCATCATAAGTCATGTGCCCCGGCCCCTGAACCATTTTTGTTGCCCTGTGCTGGACTCTTTCCAATTTGTTCATATCCTTTCTGCAGTGGGGGGCCCAAAACTGAACACAGTACTCCAGATGTGGCCTCACCAGTGCTGAATAGAGGGGAATAATCACTTCCCTTGACCTACTGGCAACACACCGAACCATGCAGCCCAGTATGCCATTAGTGTTCTTGGCAACACGGACACACTGCTGGCTCATACTCGTTTATTGTCCACTGTAATCCCCAGATCCTTTTCTGCAGAGCTGCTGCCCAGCCAGTCAGACCCCAGCCTATACCAGTACATGAGATTGTTCTGTCCTAAATGCAGGAATTTGCACTTGTCCTTGTTGAACCTCATGAGATTTCTTTTGGCCCAATCCTCCAATTTATCTAGGTCACTCTGAATCCTAGCCCTACCCTCCAGCATATCTACTACTTCCCCCAGCTTGGTGTCATTTGCAGACTTACTGAGGGTGCACTCTGTGTTGTCTTCCAGGTCACTGATGAAGACACTGAACAAAACCAGCCCCAGGACCAACCCTTGGGGCACTCCTCTTGATACCAGCTGCCAACTAGACAATGAGCTACTCTCTGAGCCTGATGCTCTAGCCAGTTTTCTATCCACCTTACAGTCCATTCATCCAGCCCATATCTCCTTATCTTGCCTGCGAGAATATTGTGGGAGACTGTACCAAAAGCCTTGCTAAAATCAAGGTATACCACTGCCACTTGTCTCCCTGCATCCACAGAGCCAGTCATCTCTTCATAGAAGACAATCAGGTTGGTCAGGCATGACTTGCCCTTGGTGAATCCATGCTGACTGTTCCTAATCACCTTCTCCTCCAAGTGCTTAGAAAAAGCTGTGATTAGCTCTTTCATACTTAGTACCATTCTTCCCCACAGTGTCTCCAAATTCACAGGAAATTTGTCACTGCTGTTACCTGCATAATATAC